GACACCAAGTTAGATAATGCCGGGTTTGACTTGGGTTTGCCTGCATTAACCGTCACAAAGGGGGGCGGACTTGGAAACTTAGCGATATCTCATTTCCCTTTTCAAAATATGAAAGGAGGAGCAGGAAATAAGGGGCGATTAAGGGGGGGGGATCCGTCTCGTATCTCAGTGAAAAAGGTAGAGACTATGAAGTTCGGAGGAGAGTGAGGAGACAGCGGTGGAAGTGAGTGCGGGGGCTCTCTCTCTCTCTCTCTCTCTCTCGCTGCCTCGCTCTCTTGCTCTCTCTCTCTATGTCTGTCTCTCTGTCTGTCTGTCTGTCTGTCTGTCTCTCTCTCTCTCTCTCTCTGTCTCTCTGTCTCTCTCTCTCTCTCTCTCTCTCTCTCTCTCTCTCTCTCTCTCTCTCTCTCTCTCTCTCTCTCTCTCTCTCTTACTCTCTCACACACACACACACATACACACACACACACACACATATATGTGTGTGTGTGTGTGTTTATATACGTATATCATCCTCGCCTGTTTTTTTCCATAATCTATCAGTCTATCTATCCATGTACTGTATCACGTGTACATTTTTTACGAATCTGTGTTTGTGTGTATGGAAAAAAAACAGATCATAGATTGCTTGCGATAATATTGATGTCAAACTGCAATGGTGACGATATATCACTGGAATCCCATTTCCAATATCAAAAGTTTTTTTTTTTTCAAGTGAGAATCGGATTTTTCTTCTTTCTGAGTATACGTAAAAAAAATTGCATTAGTCTTTTGATTTATCTTTGTAATATCTAATGTAGCATTTGTTATGTTTACATAATGTATATGTATTTCTATTTCAGTCGTTATACTTTTCTAATTCAGTTATTGTGCGCTTGGAATTCAACCTTTGTACATATATGAATGTAATTCAATTCATTATACATTTCAAAGTCAATCATTATACATTTCAAATCAATCATTATACATTTCAATCATTCATACATTTCTTATTCAAAGTCATTCATTATACATTTCAAAGTCATTCATTATATAAATTCAAATATTATGTACTGCCAATTCAGTCATTACATATTTTTAATTCGATATTCATTTCTAAATCCGTCATTACACATTCATGAATTAGTCCTCATACATTTCTAAATCAGCCAATATACATTTCTGAATCCGCCATTATACAATTCTAATTAAGTCATTAGACCTTCCTTAATTAACCGTTATACCCTTCTAATTCCGTCATTATACAATCCGAGTTAAGTTACTAGACACTGCTAAATCAGTCCTGATAAATTTCCAAATTAGTCCTTATAAATGCTAAATCAGTCCTGATAAATTTCTAATTTTGTCACTATGTAATTCTGATTAAGTTATTAGGCATCTCTAAATCAGTTCTTATACGTTTCGTTATATAATTCTAATGAAGTTATTAGACATCTCTAAATCAGTCTTTATACATTTCTAACTCTGTCATTATACAATTCTAATGAAGTTATTAGACATTTCTAAATCATTCATTTCTAATATTATACATCTTAAGCCATTATACTTTCCTAATGATGTCAATACAACTCAGAGTTATTATACATTTCTGAACTAGTCCCTCCACATTTATAATTCAGCTTTTATAGATATTTAAATCCCAGTCATTACAGAGTTCGAATAGATTCCGTCGCACATTATTCAATAAAGTATCTTTTCCTCTGCGCTCAGACTGCTTACTCACTCCCTCTTAACACCACCCTCTTAAGTCCTTTCTTAACACCTCTTCATCTCCTCCACTCTCTCTTCTCTCGCACTTTTCTTTCTTCTCGCTCCTCCACTTCCTCCTTCCTGCTTCTTGTCTGCTGATATCTATTCTTTCCTTGCTGTTCTTTTTTTATCTTGATTCTCTGAGTCCTCACGATTCTTTCTTCTTGCTTTTCGTCTTCTTTTGTATTTTGTTCGTTCTTTTCTTCCTTTTTTATCTTTCTTCCTCTTCTTTTTCTTTCTCCATCAGCCGTTTCTTGGTCTTCCTCTTCCTACTCCTTTTCCTTCCCTTTCTCATCGTCCTTCATTTATTTCCCTTACTCTTCCTCTCCTTCTTTCTCCGTAATCTCCTTTTTTCTACCGCTTCCCTCACTATTCCTCATTTCTCTTCTCCTTTTTTTCCATTTTCTTCTCCTCTTTTTCACCTGTTCTGTCTTTTCTTCCCCTTATCCTATTTACTTCCACTCCTTACTTTCCCCACTTTACTCCTCCTTCCTCCTCCTCGTCCTCCTCCTCCTCCTCCTCCTCCTCCTCCTCCTCCTCCTCCTCCTCCTCCTCCTCCTCCTCCTCCTCCTCCTCCTCCTCCTCCTCGCCCACACGCCCTCCACTTTCCCTTCCTCCTCTTCTCTCTACTCCCCTCCCCTCCCTACCACACCACACCCCTCCCCTTCTCCTCCCTTCCACTCCTCTCCCCTCCCCTTCTCTCCTCACCACACCATCCCCTCCACCTCTTCCTCTTCCCCCACACCCTTCTCTCCCCCCCCCCCTCCCTTACTCTTACTCTCCCCTCCTCTTCCCACCCTCCCCAGCCCCCCTCCCCTCCACCTCTCCCCCTCTCATTTCCTCCTCCTCCCCCTCCTCTCTACCACACCCCTCCACCCTCTTCCCCTTACCCTTCCTCCCCCCACTACCCCTCCCCTCCTCCTCCACCCCTACCCATCCTCCCCCCTTACCCTTCCTCCCCCCAACCCTCCTCCTCCCCCCCAACCCCAACTTCCTTTCCCCCCTACCCTTCCCTCTCCCCTCCCCCTACCCCAACTTCCTTCCCATCCCACCCCCTTTCCTTCTCGTCCTCAGAAGTCACACTGACCCGAATGCTTGAGTCAAATCAGAATCCCCGTCGTGTTTGAGGGAGAGAAAGGGGGAAGCGGCGGTCGAGCGTCCAACACACACGCAAAGGGGCCGAGGTCGATCCCGGATTAAGGCCCGATAATCACTTCGGTTTCAATTGGAGTCGATTCGCTATTTTGATGGCATTGGGATTAGTCCGTGGACTCTCTCTGTCTCTCTCTGCCTCTCTCTCTGTATTTCTCTCTCTCTCTCTCTCTCTGTATTTTCTCTCTCTCTCTCTCTCTCTCTCTCTCTCTCTCTCTCTTTCTCTCTCTCTCTCTCTCTCTCTCTCTCTCTCTCTCTCTTCTCTCTCTCTCTCTCTCTCTCTCTCTCTCTCTCTCTCTCTCTCTCTCTCTCTCTCTCTCTCTCTCTCTATCTATCTATCTATCTATCTATCTATCTATCTATCTATCGATCTATCATCTCTAACTCTCTCTTATCTATCTATCTATCTTTATCCATCCATATCAATCTACATTATCTTTATTTATCTGTCCATCTCTGTCTATCTACCTCTGCCTCTTTAAATATCTATCTCTGCCTATCTATCTCTATTTATCTATCTATCTTTCTGCCTATCCATCCACATATATATTTTTTCTGTCAATATATCTGATTATCTACCTACCTTCCTACCTTCCTACCTACATACCTATCCATCTTCCCCATATCCAGGGCTAAGAAGAAAGGAAAGAATTGAGTCACGTACCTTGGCAAAAATAAAGAAACGGTGAGAGGAAGGGGGAGGGAGAGGAGGGAAGGGAGGGAGGATAGGGGGGGAGAGGGGGAGAGGGAGCGAGGGAGGAAAGGGGAGAGGAGAAGAGAGAGGAAGGAGGGAAGGAAGAGGAAGGGAGGAAGGAAGGGAAGGGGAGGGAGGGAAGGAGGAGAGGGGAGAGGGGGAAGGAGGAAAAGGGGAGATGGGGAGAGGAGAGGAAAAGGGAGGGGAGAGGGGAGGAGGGAGGAAAGGGAGGGAAAGAGGGAAAAAGGGGAGAGGGAAGAAATCAGAAGGGAGCAAGAGAAGCCCTCCCCTCACACCTGCCAGCGTTGCAAGGAGAGCTTCGGTAACGGCGTGACAGGCTCGTCTCCCAAACCCCTTCTCCTTGGGCTGTCCTGAAGCTCCCTCGTTGCCGGTGACCCTTTATTGCGCGCCTTTATCGTCCAGGAGTGCGCTCATAACCCAGACATAAAAATAACCCGGCTTAATATATTGTCACCATTCCGGGACACCCTCTCGTAAAACAAGGCTTTATTACCAGTTATCATACGATACTATTAGACCTCAACATCCTTCGTTCCCTCTCTCCTTCTCCCCTCTGCCCCCCCCCCCTCCCCTCTCCCCCCTTTAAAAATACACCTCCCCCTTTTTCCTTACCCTTAAAAGAGTACATATCTCCCCCCCCCCCACCCCACCACCACCCCATCCTAAACGATACACCTGCGGTTCCTGTGAGAGCGTAATAGGTACGATATCTTTTGTCCACGAGTACGATGCTTAACTGGGTAGTAGTACATGTCTGAGTTACGATAAGTATCATAGTGGTGCGGGAATCCGTATATTATACCTCGTTTTCTTTATCTGACATTGACATATATTGCACGTATCTCACTTGGTAAAATGCTATATTTCCAGCAAGTCAGAGATATCCCATACACGCTAGATATATATAAACGGGAATATATGTATTTTTACTTTTCTATAAATAAGCCGTTAATCCCGAATCCTCCACGTACCACAACCCATGAGCTGGGGAAAGGCTGTAAAAACACGGTTCCTTCCCGATAAACACTGTCAAAGCCCATTCTGTCCGACCGAGGGAAATTCTGAAGCCCGCGGAGAACTAAGCCGTTCGGACAAGTTAATCGCCGGTTGCAGTCACAGCCCGATTCAATGGCGACAGAAACTGGCCAATTGTAGCGTGGGCCAACGAGAGCAAGTGGAAGCAAGCTAAAGCAAGTGGAAGCGAGCTAAAGCAAGCGAGAGCAAGCTAAAGAAAGCGAGCGCACGAGCGAGGAGGTTGACTAAGCATACGCGGGGGTGGATTTCGACACAAGACAGGCACTGAATCTGACCTGGACTGACACGGAACTGCCCTGGCCGCGCCCTTGAGCTGAATGCGTCCCTTACCTCTTTTTCTCCTCCCCGGCAGGTTGGCTCTGAATGGGTGACCCCTTACGGAAACGCTCTGCAACAGGGCTCCTCCGGCCTCTCGCTGCATGTGCCGGGCGAACAGGTGAGTATTGTGTGAGTGCGGACAGGTGAGGCTTGCTTTTGGGAATTGAGTTGGGTTGCGGAGGCTTGGGAGGTGATGGTTGTGCTTGCTTGTTAGGGTGACGGCGATGGTGGTTGCAGCTGATGACTTAGGCAGCGATGAGGAAAATGATGATTTTGGTAATGAAACGTGATCGGAACAACAACAGCGCCCAGAAAGAAAATATGAATGATGACTATAGCGATGGTAATAGTAGTAATACTAATTATTATGTTAGCAGTGATGAAAGTAATGAGAATAACAATGTTGTTTAAACTGACAGTAATGATCATAATATTAATAAAATATAATAGTAACATACAAAATCTAATAACAATTAGTAGTGGCAGTAATAGCAGCAGCAACTACAGTATAAATAGTAGTAATAGTGGAACTGGTACGAGGATACTCATAGTGATAGTAATAACAAGTATAAGAATAGTGATAATGATGCTAATGATATTGCTGCTAATGATAATAAAGATAACGTTAAGTAACTATAAAAGCAAGATAAATGCAAAGTGCGGAATTCCGCCCTTACTGTTCACCTCTCAGGTCATACCTACTTTCTAAAAATAAAAAAAAAATCTACCCTCTACCCCTTCTAATAATACAATGTGCAAGTTTGATACCTTTAAGCATGGTAATTACTCTCTTGGCATGAACTGGTGCCCTTAAAGATGCCATCCACCCTTAAATATTAACAACAAAATCACTACCACTTAGTTATTGAATCAAAGACAATAAGGTAAATCAGTGTTCAGAAATAACTGTTAGTGACAAATCAAGAAAAATTATGACTGATGAAATTCCCTGAGGTGAGTATTATTTCCTTTGTTCTTTGAAGGTTGTAATTATTAGAATTATATAACAATAATGCTAGTGATGATGGTTATGATAGTAATCATATAATGATAGTACCAAAAACATTGATACTGTTAATTACAGTAATGAGTTTTTATTATTAGTGTCATTACCAATAATAATTATTAAAGATGAAGAATGATAAGAGAAAAGAAGAAATATAACAAAAATATAAGCAAAGGAACAAAAATATGATAATAACGATCTACAGGTAAATTGCAGTGAAAGGAGAAAGGAAATCGAGCAGAGAATCATGATAGGCTTAATCTGCTTGTAATCAGACTGTCTCACTTGTTTATATCGATTCCTAGGTGGAAATGAGAACTGAGGAAAAGTGGATGTTTAATCATTATTGCAGGGATTTGCAATCTGCTGTTCATCAATACGGGATCAGTTATCTAAATGGACGATTCGTTCGGTGATAAAAAGAACTTATCACGGGAGGGCATGGGTGGCAGCGGTGGGATTGCCGAGCGAGTGTGGGATTGGCTGTATATTTGACTGTTTCTCTCTCTCTCTTTCTCGCTCTCTCTCTCTCTCTTGTTCTCTTTTAATTTAAGTATTACCTGTATGTATTTCTCCATCTTATGGGGTTCCTTTCTGTCTCATACCTAAGGGTTCGGTTTAATGTCTATACGCTAGGGATTTGCCCTCTGTGGAATGCCGTATGCTTTCGTCTATGCTATTCTGACTAAACCTCTCTCTAATCTCTCGCTCTTCTCCTCTTCTTTCTCTCTCTCCCTCTTCCTCTCTCCTCTCTCTCCTCATTCTCCTCCTCTCTCTCCTCTCTCTCCTCTCCCTCTCTCTCCTCTCTCCTCTCTTCCTCTCTCTCTCTCGCTCTCTCCCATCTCTCTCGTCCTCTCTCTCCCTCTCTTCCCTTCTCTCCTCTCTTCCCTCTCTCCTCTCTCGTCTCTCCCTCTGTCCTCTCCCTCCCTCCTCTCTCTCTCCTCTCTCTCCCCCGTTTGCCTCTGGCCTCACAGCAAACTAAAGAGTATCAATTTAAACAGACCTGAGTGACAAGGAAGAAGAGATGGAAACAACGAACAACGAAATATTTGGAGAATGGGAATCTGACACTCAAAGAAAACAAGTGAGGTTGATAGAGAAGGAGAATAAAGGGAGGGGAGAAAAGGGTTGGATGTTGAGGAAGAAATGAATATTGGAGAATGCGAGAGAACTGAAGGACAGAGAAAGAGAAAGAGGGGGGAAGACAGACAGTCATAGAAAGTCCTACAAAAATAACCAAAAGGAATGGAAGACCGAAAAAAGATAAACGAAAAGAATCGATAGAAAGGAAGCAAAATAACCAAAAAGAAAAAAAAAATAGACGACGAAACGAGAGATAGAAGGGGAACAAAAAACAAAAAAAAAAGCTTATTAAGGTTAGGGAGAACTAGCAGCGCTTAGCCACAAGATACAGAATATGAGGCATGTAGGTCATAGAGAAGCAGGTCGAGGGGGACGCGGTGCAGGATAATTGAAATGATGTACACTGAGTCGGAGTGAATGCGAGGGCTGTACACAGAGGGCTGGCGCGGGGGAAAGGCTAACTGGTTAAAAGGTGAGAGTTATAGGGAACAGGGAACGGTGGAGAGATGGAGGAGAAGAGAGAGGAGAACAGGGAACGTGGAGAGATGGAGATATTGAGAGAGAGAGAGAACAGGGAACGGTGGAGAGATGGAGATATTGAGAGAGAGAGAGAACAGGGAACAGGTGAGATGGAGATAGAGAGAGAGAGAGAACGGTGGAGAGACAGAGGGACGGTGGAGAGATGGAGATACAGAGAGAGACAGAGACGGTGGTGGAGAGATAGAGAGAGAAAAGGGAATGATGGAGAGATAGAGACACTGAGAGAGAGAGAAAGTGGTAGGGATAGAAAGAGGGAGAAAAGGAAATGGTGGAGAGAGAGAGAGAGGGGGAAGGTGGTGGGGAAAGAGAGAGGGAGAAAGGGAACGATGGAGAGATAGAGATATTGAGAGAGGAGAGAGAGGGAGAAAAAGGGAGGGGAGAGAAACAACGAGAGATGGGAGAAGAACAGAGGAGGCAAAAGAGAATAGGGGTAGAGAAGTTGAGAGGAGAGCGTAGGAAGAAAAGAGGGAAGAAACAAATAGAGAGAGGGTGGTAAGAAGAAAGAGAAGTGATGGAAAAAAAAAAGTGAAAGAACAAATAAAAGAGAGAGCAAACGAATAAGAACGAAGGGAAAAGAACAAGGAACGGAATCAAAACCAAACAAAAGAAAGGCAAAAGAGAGAGAAAGAGAGAAAAAAAGGAGAAAGAAGAGGGAAAAGAACAAGGGAATCAAACCAAACGAAAGAAAGGCAAAGGAGAGAGAAAGAGAGAAAAAAAAGGAGAAAGAAGATTCCCTAAGCCACACGGAGCAAGCTGGGTTTGAGGACTGCGAGCCTAGGTGAGCCAGGTGGAGAGAGCCAGTCAGTGTGGCTGTTAAAAAGCTATGCGGATATTTATGTGTGAGGGACGCACGCTTCCAATGGCAGAGATAAGAGAGCAGCCAGGAAGAAAGAGGGGAAAATATGACGCGGTTTGCGACAGTTGGTTCGAGGAGGGGAAAGAGTGAGAGGGAAGAGGGGTGAAGGGGAGGAGAGGGGAGGAGGGGAAGAGATGGGATGGGAAGGGGAGGAGTGGATGGAAAGGGGAAAGGGGAAGGGAGTGTAAGGGGTGGGGAGGAGGGGGAGGGTGAAGGGGAGGGTGAGAGAGGAGGGTTAAGGAGAGGAAATGGGAAGGTAGGGGGAGGGGAAAGAGAGAGGCACAAGCAGAAGCAGGAGAGTGGTCGGGAGCGAAAGAGGAGGGGGAGATGCGAGGGGAAAAAGTGGGGAAGGCAGGAGAGTAATAGGGAAAGAAATGGGGAGAGAGAGAGCAGAAGATAAAGAGGGTGAAGGAAGAGGTAAGGGGAACAGAGATGGCGGAGTATGTGAGGGATGAGGGGAAGAAAGAGAAAATAACAAGGAAAAGCAAGAGAAATGATGAAAGCAAAGCGAAAAGAAGATAAAGAGAGAGAGTGATAGAGAGTGAGCAAGGGGAAACGGGAAAGAAAAGAGGAAATGAGATTTTGAAATAAATAAATATATAAAAGCGCACGAGAAGTGTAAGAGAAGGGACAAGAGGAAAGGTGGAAAAGGAAAGGGAAGAGAGAGAAAAGAAAGAGAGAGAGAGAGAGAGAGAGGAAAGAGAAAGAGAAAGAGAGAGAGAGAGAGAGAAAGAGAAAAGAGAAAGAGAAAGAGAAAGAGAAAAGAGAGAGAGAGAAAGTGAGAAGTGAGAAAGTGAGAAAGAGAGAGAGAGAGAGAGAAGAGAGAGAGAGAGAAAGAGAAAGAGAAAGAGAGAGAGAGGGAAAGAGAGAAAGTGAGAAAGAGAAAAGTGAGAAAAAGAGAAAAAGAGAGAAAAAGAGAAAAAGAAAAAAGAGAAAAAGAGAGAGAGAGGGGGGGGGGAGGGGAGACTTCAGCAAAAGGGTCGAGAGTAATTCGTATTCGAAAAGGGGAACCAGGCGGAGGAGGAGAGCGTGCGGCCGAGATTAAGAAGGAATCAAGAGAAAGAGGAGAGGGGAAAGATCGAAGACATAATTGATAAGAAGGGTAAAGGCGACGTCGTTGGTGTAGGTCGTATTTTCTTCTTCTTCTTCTTCTTCTTTTACAAATTATGCTATTTTGGGGGTTATTTTTTTAAAACATCGATTTTTTTGGGGGGGTAGGTGGTGGAGGGAGTAATTCACCGTTTTAAAGTCATATTTTCTCTTTTCTCTTCTCTCTCTCTCTCTCTCTCTATCTATCTAACTCTCTCTCTCTCTCTCTCTCTCTCTCTCTCTCTCTCTCTCTCTCTCTCTCTCTCTCTCTCTCTCTCTCTCTCTCTCTCTCTCTCTCTCTCTCTCTCTCTCTCTCTCTCTCTCTCTCTCTCTCTCTCTCTCTCTCTCTCTCTCTCTCTCTCTCTCTCTCTCTCTCTCTTCTCTCTCTCACTTCTCTCTCTCTCTCTCTCTCTCTCTCTTCTCTCTCTCTCTCTCTCTCTCTCTCTCTCTCTCTCTCCTCTCTCTATCTCCTCTCTACCTACCTATCTATGGTTCTCTCTCTTTCTCACTTTTTTGCGAAAAATACCAAAAATAACACCATACA